ACCCTGAATTGGCGGCGAATAGGCGGAAGGAAGGACATTGCTTTGAAATAGGAGAAGAAGAGTTAGAGATCACTCTTCAAACAAAAAAAAACACCACTCCAGGATGGGATGGAATTACCTATCCGATGTTGTCAAGAATACCACCTTTTACGAGAGAATCACTGTTGCAATTCCTTAACAAGATCTTGAAACAGGAAGCAGATATTCCGCAGGATTGGAGAAATCAAATTGTGATTCCGATCAAAAAACCCAAGAAAGACTCTGAAGACTACAAATCCTATAGACCAATTGTGATGACTTCCTGTTTGAGCAAAGTAATGGAAAACATTCTCAAGACGCGATTAGAGCATTTCTTGGAAAGAAAAAACTAATTCAATGCATACCAGAATGAGTTTAGAAAAGGCAAAGGAAAAATTGACAATCGGTCATTTTGACCAAGGCCATATATACAGCGTTTTCCAATAATGAAGTGGTTCCTTTATACATATACGTGCAGCCTATGACAATGTATCAATGGAAAGTCTGAGAGACATGTTGAAAGAGGCCAAAGTCAATGAATGGATTTGTGATTACATTTACAATCTTTACTCAGATAGGAATACATATATGTATAAGGGAGCCGATTAATGGTAACTTAATAGAGCCTCAAAAAGCTAATATGGGGCTACCACAGGGGTCGCTCTTGAGACCTTTGCTTTTCAACATATACACCAATCAGATTCAGGAAGTAGTCTCAGGGGGGGTAAGTACACTGCAGTATGCGGACGACATTGCTCTGTTTGCGACTGGGAAAAAGGTGGAAGAAGGAATTAGGAAGGTGCAAGCTGCGATGGATAGATTGACTGGGTGGCTTAAGAGAAACAACATGGACATATCGACGGAAAAAACTAAAGCGATGCTGTTCTCCAAAGGGAGCAGAAATAATCCAAGAACAAATATAAGTGTGTCAGATAGAGAAATTGAATGGGTGGTATTTGGGACTAATATTGGACAGAAAGCTGAAATGGAATGATCACGTAGAGTATGTTAGTGATAAGGCGCAGAAAGGTATCAATATCATGAGAGCAATCACAAGAACATGGTGAGGCGCAGACCCGAATATTTTGCTGCATATTTATAAAGGACTAGTTAGATCTCACTTTGATTATGGCTGTCAAGCCATGTATCACATGAGTAAGATGAATATGAACAGATTGAATCGCATCCAGTACCAAGCCCTGAGAGGGGTGACTGGCTGTATGAAGAGTACACCCATAATGGCGCTGTTATCCGAAGCGGCTGAAATACCACTGGCTAAACGAAAAAATCTTCTTAGTTCAAGATTGATGCTCACGAAAATGGCTTTAAAAGGGATAAGGTTAACAAGAGGATAATCAACTTCTATCAACTCTCAAGAGCATAATCAACTATATCAACCAGGACCCTCTTTATTGGCGGGCCAAGGGCGCTCCGGTGATCATGGAGGGAGCCGAATTTTGTGCTTGCTCATTTAGAAATATTAGAAAAATCGGATAATCTGCCATGTTACGAAGAAGATCAAATGCGAAAAATAGAATGGGTTGATTCGAACATACAAAAGGATAGCCTAGATGCTCAAGTAAAACTGCAGGAAATTTTGGACGAATATATAGGTTATCAACATATCTACACAGATGCATCTTTCGACCCTATAACAGCACAGTGCGGAATTGGAATTTTCAATAACACAAATAAATTTTCAATAATAGGAAAATGTCAGGATTCAACTAATATTTGCTCAGCAGAGGTGCTGGTCATCTATACAGCCTTGAATACCTTGGGGAATGATAAAAGAAAGGCTGTCCTGATATCGGATTCCAAGAGTGCCATTGAGAAAATAGTCAGTGTCCTTATTCTTGAAACAGGGGAGCAGCGTTCCCAAGAAAACGAGTGTTCCGTCTTTGTTACTTATATTATCAGTTGCATATCGTTGAGAAAGACGGAACACCCGTTCCCCTGGGAACGCTGCTCCCCTGTTTCAAGACTAGGGACAGCTGGTATTCATAAAGCTTCAGATAACTAGGAAAAAAATTCTAGAAATGCAGGATCGGGGCGTGGAAATTAAAATGATATGGGTGCCTAGTCACTCAGGCGATACAGGAAATGATAAGGCAGATGACCTTGCAGGAAGGGGCCGAAGGGCTAACGTCTTTGTAAATAAAACATCACACTATGAGGATCTGGCAAGAATAACTAAGGAAGAAACATGGAGGGAATGGGCTGTGGAATATTCCAATAAGGGCAGAAATTATTGGAACCAGTATCACAAAGTAGTGAAGGAACTTCTACGAATGTCATGGTTCAGTAAAATATAGAAAATAGATAGACAGAAAGCTAGTGTTTTTTGCAGAATGAGAACGGAACATTGCCTCATACCAAAACACCTTTATAAACTTGATATGCAGGACAGTGAGAATTGTGAATGTGGAGAAGTGGGTGATCTGAATCACGTACTATTGAACTGTGAGTTTAATAGAGACCTGACAGGCTCTATACAAGTTTGATTGGAATGAAGGAGGGTCCGATTCAGATGAAAGAAATTTTGGCGAATCCATCTAGTAGGGAGGCTGCTGTGGCTGTGGTGGAAGCATCGTATAGGTATTTAAACAGATGCGGTGGATGTTTAACGTTTTTGGTTAAAAATTAACAAATACTAAAAGCGTGCACGCTTTTAGTCTTTGTTAATTTTTGCGAATTGAGCTTTGAATTGCATAATAGGTGTAATGTGTTATTGAAATTGAAAACTAATAGAAAAAGGTTTTCTACTAAGTACTAGGTACTCAACGAGTGCCCTATTTTCTTGGGGCTCCAATTTCCCAGCTGAAGACGCCACAGCTAAAATTACCCATCTGATCCTATTTTGAAAATTAAAGTATCCGCCAAGAGAGTGGAATCCCGCTGTCTTGAGGATACAATTGTTGGAATTCTGGCTGATTGTTGCGAGACGACAAGGGGCCATAAGAAACAGTATGATATTTACAAAATTGATGATTGTTAATAATGATGATGATGATGTACTTTATGTTTATTTTTTTTACTAGCCTAAAGCTAATAATAAAGATTATTTATTTATTTTATTTGAAATAAGCTTGACATAAAAAAGATATAGGTATGCCTACTTCTTAAATTCTTATAGTTCAAGAATGCTGATAACATAACACACTTATGCCAGCTTCTACTAGATATTGTTACATTATTATTAAATCTGAAACTGGAAAAGAAAATCATCTCTAAATTGAATTATTACTATTCCAACAATGAAACCTTTATTAGATACTTTTTTATATGCGGTACGGTACGGTGCCCAGAAATTCCTGGCGTCAGACTTATAGTATTACGGAAGTACAATAAATGACTTTATTTTTAGCTTTTTGGATGCATTTCGTTAAAAGTTTGAGATTAATAGTCTTGTTACACGTCGGAACATTTTCGAAATATGTTTATTTTCTACTTAACTATTATAGATCCATATTACCTAGGAAACGAAATACGTTAACATACCTATAACAACCTGAGGGCAATATAAGCCCAGCGGGTGTTATGATCTATAACGCCCGCTTATAATAGCCTGAGGTGTTTTTGTTGTTGTTGTTTTAATAATTACACTTTACCCTAGGCAGCCACTAAATGTCTACCATTAACGTTTCCCATGTAGTCGAGCGCGTTAACCCACACGGCCACTGTTGCCTTGCCTTATGAGATGTTTATAGATATATTAATTTATTTCGTTTCTAGGTACAGGTACATGTCAAAATACAAAACAATATTCTGTCACACGAGTTTAACTGATTTTGTTTGATACTAAATTAATGAAAGAACATTGTGTTGAGTAGAAAATAAAGCATTCTATGCACCACGGGGATTATAAGATTATAATGCCCTTCAGGCGAAATATATTCCTCGGGCCAGAGGCCCTCGGGCTAGTTTCGCCTTCGGGCATTATAATCTAATCTACATAATCCCCTTGGTACATAAATAGCTATTTTTTCGGGAATCATAATTACTTCCTTGTCAAATCCAAGTCAATATTTCAGGTATAATTTGAAAATGGCCCGCAAGAACTCCAGATTTATCAACTTTTTGATTTTTGTAATCAGTCGATGACGTTCACTGGCACTTTCTGATAAAATATCGCTTTCAACATTGACGTTCCCACCGGAGAAACTCAATTTTTGAGCCAACTCGACAGTTGTTCGTTTGATATAAACGTTTCTATTTTTGAAAAAGTGTTTATGCGTAAATTTTAACCTGGTTCGTAAGCAAAGAATAATGTCCTTTATTGTTTGGATTGACGCTATAAGAAATCAGATATTGGAGAATCAAAAGCAAAGACCTAATGAAACCTGAACGAAAACACTGAACTGCGATCAGGGAGATAATAAGATCCAGTATAAAAACTAAAAACGGAAGAAGCAAAGGGAAAGGAAATTTCTAAATATAAGGAATAATTGAACTATACCTAAAACCTAGACCTAATAAAATGAAAAATTGCAAGAAATTGAAGGTTCAAAACAATCTAAGGTAAAAACTAAGTCATAAGCAAAACAAACGAATTCAAGTTCTCTCCAAAAATTATAATCTACAAAGGTACTAGATAGTTCCTTTCCCGTTATTATTATTTTCTCAGTGCTCATACAGTACCTCTATAAAAATACAAAATTATAAAACAGAAAAAATTGAACCACAAATCCAATAAAAAATAAAGGAGCATAGGAAAATTGTCACATAGGACATTGAAAAAAAAAATGAAAAAACGAAATAATCCAGAACTCGATCCAGAACAGATAAGATTTTTTTTAGAATTTTCCCAAAGCCTCTAAACTTGCTGCTTGATTTTAGACCCACATATCAGCTTCAAAACAAATAAATTTTCTTTGAAACAGTAGGAGTTGAAATTACCAAATATGATACAAACAGGAAAAAAATCATCTAGAGAAAAGATAAAACCAAAGCTGCAATAAACTTGTACTTTTTGTACTTACCACATCTTTTTCAGGGCACTAGGGTCCCTTAAACTGTCCTGTCCACTCATAATGATCGTCATTTTGAACCGAAAATATAAAAAAGTCACTAATAGAACTTAATTCGCAATAACCAAACACTAAACTCCCCCACACAATGCAGCTTAATCTCATCCAATATTCAACCGGCACTGCATTGTGTGAACTCTATCCAGAAAATTAAAACCGTTCCGAAATTTCGCTCTCCTTATAAATTCAAAACAACTTTTCCACTCGGTCCTACACTGATACACACGTGCCTACTTTTTGGAATCCCCGGCGACCTATCCAGACTTTATGTCTACTGAAAATTTTCTTGATGAGGAAAACCGTTTGCTGCAAATTTTTGAGTTCGAATGAGGTCTGTATGGGTGAGATTTTTGAATTATACCTGAGCATTGCCTCACTCCCACTTTGCACTATTTTTAGTTTTTGTGTGTATTTTTTTTGTATGTCAAGTTTTAATAGCACAATAAAAGGTGCATTTTGTTTATAGGTAAATCTTAATTTGGGTCAGTTTATGCATTTTTAAATAAACAATCTGTGCCGGTCCGTTTTTAGGTAAATTTTGACCCAAATTTTCAATGCTTCCAGACCTAATACAAATCGATTGAAATATTGAGTGTAACGGATAAGTAATCAGGTCGGGTTTTCCGGCTTTCTGGAGCTGCTGAAAAGATTTTAAATCGGTAATTTCAGGAATGGGTTTATTGTTTATTATTACGACTTGCTTATTGCTATTTTACTGTTTTCAGGTTTTTAGAAATGATGTTTTCTGATTTACTTCCCCGTAAGAAGTCTATAAATCATTTGCATGGACCATTTAAAATTCTCATGAACCTATAACAATGATCACTGTACTTTTTGTTTTTATTTTCCATATGGAGGTAGTAAGTAAGTACCTATATACCTTTCCATAATCTTATATTCAAGTTTTAATTCTTCATACCTACATAGTATCAAGTATCATAATTCGACTTTGTATTCATTCTCTCGGCAGCAAGTGCCAGAATCTAGATCAAATCCCAAATCCCATTCTCTAATTGTTTTCTAGAGAAGCTATAATAAGTTGGTCGATCTGACTCCAAATATAGCAGATACTGCGCTTTTTGGTCAGCTTCAGGTATTTCCTTCCATGTGTAACCTTTCCAGTTCCAGCAGCCTAATGTTCCAAATGTTTTGAACATACGCTATTTTAGGTTTTATAAAGCTTTGGTACACCTACCATTTCCCTTGAACGATTCTTGCCTTTTAAAAAAATATGCCTTTTTCAGATATACCTACTCAGTATTCAAATGAATTTTTCATTTTAGGTAATCACCAGATTGTGGTAGGTTGCAATATGAAAGAAAATTTCAACTTCAAGCTCTGGTTGGCTCAAAATTGGGTTATCAGGTGAGGGTTACCAGGTCCAATGTCAAAACAACGAAAAATGACGCCGCGGCACTAATTACTTCGGGTTAATTTTGTTTTAGTCGATCGTTTATCATCTAATGACATACCAAGTTCGACATTCCCCGAAATATTATTATTTTTATTTAATGCAAATTTAGTTCTAGCTAAAGGGATCCGATGTCCTAGTTTTCCAAATGAAGAGGATTCAGAAAAAAACACTTTTCAGGGAATGATACTTTTGTATAGGGCAATGTTATAGTTCTTATGATGGCTTCAAAATTGTTTAGGAAAAAAATATAAACCGAATAAATAAATAAGCACCAGTTTTATCATAGCCATCTAATGTGGATTAGGTAGATACCTAATAAGTAGACTACCTGTATAGGTACTATTGACAATATTTTCAGATAATGAAGATTTTCTTTATTGAAGCTTTTCTCATCATATGAAAATTGAAATACAATGCATTCTGGTAGTAGAAATCACTTACCACTGGTAAGAACCTTCAAAAATTCAGGTGAGCCGAATAATTAACCACCGCCTGAGATTTTTTTCAAAATTGAACTGGCCAAGAATTCGGGTCAAGGCGAAATAATTAGTAGTGAAAATTGATAATTATGTACGTACTTACTCGCCCAAAATGATTTTAAAATGAGAACTAAAAATAAATTTACAGGAAAAAATCCTGATTTAGGATTTTTGGTCCAGATTTTCAAAAGACTACATAGGTACCTGGTACTTAATATCTAAAGATGGAAAAAACTCTTAACTTAAATATAACTTAGTAGTTTTTCATTTAAAACTACTTGTTTTTACTGCGTAACAATTTTTGTCAGCACATGATAATATGTGGTATGTACCTAGGTACTTAATCTGTTTTCGATATTACGTGAGAGTAAACATGTTATCTCAAAAACTCTTGAAATCACTTTTTAGAAAAAAGAAAAACACTAATTTATTTTAAAATACAGGTTACAATTACAATGGACATTAACTCAACTATACTTAATAATGGCGAATAATGACGACCTAACTAAAGAGACAGGGTCTTTTATATTTTGAAACATGTTGATCTTGCTGTTTCTATGGGAGCGTTGCATGGAGCAGAGTTCTTGGCGTGACATGTTCACACAGGATAACTTGCTGAAGTAGCGTCTAGACTTTGCGATAATTTGTACGACCATGGTGATGAGATGCGTCTGGAGGTCATTGTAGTCGTGAAACCCATATAACAGCTCCCACATCAAGTAAATAGTTGGTGCTTGGCAGCAATTTTTTTAAAACCAACTTGGTTGTTGTGAAGAATGGTCATCTCTTGTTCTGAGGGTAGATTTGGATGAACGGTGTTTCTTCGTTCCGGTAAAAGCTTTCTAAGGTTGTTGCCTATTTGAAGACGTGAATGAGACTTCGACGGTTGTGGTTCGTCTTCGTCGATAGGGCTAAGATTGGGAGGTGCCTTTTTGTCGACACTTACAACAAATGTAAATAATTACAAGAGCTGCTATTAGTACGATGATGAAAGAGGAGAACCATTGAATGTGTCTTGATACGAATGGTTCTTGGATTAGTTTATCCCTCAGTTTATCCAGTTCATCGGAAAATTGGTTTAGTCTATGCTGTGCCACGTTTAGATCATCGATGTTGATTTTAGATAGTTTGAGAGGTTTCAACTCTGGCACATTAAGATCCACCGGCAGGTGTTTGCAGCAGTCATAGGGAATTTCCACTGGAGGTAAAGTTAGAAGAAATTGAGGGGTGACGACTGGAAACAGCCCGACGAGTCTGGAAAAGAATAGACTAGTCATAGAACGGCGTCAGTCTATCAAAGTTAAGTTTCGAAAATTGATTTGTTTAGAGGTTTTTCACTTTCGCTGAGTTTCTGTAAACTTCAATTATTTCGAAAGGTCCGTTAAAAAGATTTTGAACTTTGTCTTTTATTTGAGTTTCTTTGACATACACCTTGTCACCTGCTTTATATTCTGGAAGATTTTGTGAGACCGTCTTGTCGAACCTTATTTTCGACTTTTCTTTCTGGATATCGGTTCTGGCTCGAGCTATTCTATATTAATGTTCTATTCTGTTGTTGAGGTCTCGTATGTATTTGGAGATTAGCTGTTTTTGATTATAAAGAGTTTTAGGGGGTCTATTCGACGTATGGCCAAAGATTAATTCGAAAGGTGTGAATCCGTGTGTCTTATTTTTGGTATTATTTAACAGATAACTGCGTACGGGAGAATGATCAATGGGTGTTCATCTGGATTTTCTGCTTTATGAATGCGGATCATCTCTATTAAAGTTGCATGGAATCTTTCCAGTGATCCGTTGGATTGTGGGTGGCTTACGCTTGAAAATGTCAGTTTTATGTCGTAGAGTCGACAAAGCTCTTTGAGTAAGGCGTTGTTGAATTCACCTCCACAATCACAGTGAATTCTTAAAGGTGTCCCGTAATGTTGGAAGAATACTATTAGGGTGTTAACAATTAATTGTGGACGCCGTTTTGTCGGAGATTAGGTAAGCTTCAGTGAATTTGGTAAGTTCATCCCTAATTCTTAGGGCGTAGTTACGAACTGGGAATTCAAAAAAGTCAATGTTTATCTATCCTTTCAAATGGAGTTTTGGGAGTTTCAGTGATAACGAGAGGAGAACTAAGATTGTTCCTACAGATTTTGACTTTTTGGCAGATTTCACAGGCTCTGTGAATTTCTCAACATCTTTGGTTAAACCTTGCCAGGAGTATTTGTCTTTAATCCTTCTAATGGTTTCATTGATTCCACGATGTAAATTTGTTTTTCCAGTATGATATTGGTCCAGGATAATTGGGATTTGGTCTTGATCTTGGGTTTTGACGATATTTTGGCATATATTAAGCTTAATGTCTTTTTAAAGCAAATATAATGGGAAATATTTCAAGAATAGGTAGGCAATTCTAGATTGTTTTCTATGCAAAAGGTTTTTTTCAGGATTTTGACATTTGAAAAGCGGGTAAAAGAGGGTAGGGACTATTTTCTCATTTTTGCAAGGAATGGGAATTATGAAGTATTTGCCCACCTTCACAGATTTGCTGGATAAAATGTTAACCTGATTAGGTTGAAAATCGAAATTTTCCTCGAATAGACAGGCGCAACTAGGCTCCAAATTTGGGGGGTGCTATAGCACCATTTTTTTTTGTGGGGTGTGGGTGTACCATTGAAAACGAAACAGGCTGAATATCTGATGCCACGTTTATTTTTCAAAAAATCGCTCGTACACGTAATTTGATTTTCAAAAGGGGAAGTTTTCTGCAAACATTTTTAGCACTTCAACTTTAACCCTCTAGGCGTGGTGGAACCAATCCTTACTATTCAAATGGAACAAGGGGGTCAAGTGGTACTTCTTTTAAAAGAGCGTTCTATTCTCTTTCATTTGATGTCATTTGAAAGAAAATTAGACGCTCTTTTAAAAAAGGTAGCACTCGACCCCATGTTGCATTTGGAATGGTAAGGGTTGCTCCCAACCCCCTAGAGGGTTAATTTAGTACTGATAATCAGGCCTATGATATATCCTGTCCTGTTAGTTTAATGGCTGTGTTAAGGCTCAACATCTATTTCCGTCTTTATTTTGACGTATAGAATAAACAGTGACAGATAACTTAACGCTGTTGTTAAAATAACAGAAAATGATACATCATAGGCCTGAATGTTTCGAATACTCTCATAATCAAATTACGTGTACGAGCGATTTAAAAGCAGTGTTGACACATCATTCAGCGCCAAACTTGATAGGTGTCAAAGCTGAGACCGCGGGCCCTTGCTCCAATAAGCTGCCCTGCCACCCTTTTCCGGCAAGTTCTCACGAGGCAGGATCGACTTTTCAGATAGGGGACATCGAGACCTTCAATCTGATACCCTACTTAGGGCATAACTCGATGGGGGTAGTGTTACGTTTTTTTCAATTTGTTAATAATTTGTTAATA